TTTCTTTTTTTCCGTTGGCGACCTAGATGCCATGTGTGCTGTTCTGCCCCGTGCCCCGTATTGCCTGCCGTCCGTATAACAGTGTCTACGTCCTTCTCCCATCTTCGTAGCACGTCTCATGCGTACGTATGTATACGTATGTGTATGCCATGTGGTATACACTGTGCAGCTGCTATAAAGTCACTGGAGCTAGCAGATGACGCCTGTCATCAAATCTGTCAGCACACATAAATATTTAGGCTACCACTGTACCCTCAGCAGTGCTCCTTTTCAACACATGTTTGATATTGACAAGTCACCTCACCAAAAGACTAATCTCTGTACAAACCAAAAATGTCTATTACATAACATACATTTTTAATAGTTGTTTACTTTAGGAGTAAATACTGTATACTGTCTTTTTATCAATTTTTACTAGATGATTCATACATAAAAGGAGATGGTTAAAAGTCATTTCTGTAAAATATTAACTGTCCAGTATGTATTTGATATTGGTGAGTGAAACTCCGTAGAGTTGATGGTAGCTACCTGCACAACATTTTTCCATTTTCAGAAAAAGTTCGTTTCCTAATTCATGTTCAGTTCCTTTAAAGGCAAAATCAAGATTTCTATGGAATGGACATTAGTTCCATATATTTGGTAGGAATTGTACATGGCAGCTTCAAATTTCATACATAAACTAAGATAAATGATATCCTTATGTACTTATTATGTGCCATGGCTTCTTGAAACATGTAAACACTAAATATTGTGTTTTAGATATATATTTCATGGAATACATGTTTTGTAAATGTGCTATTAAATCTGGATGCATGCTTATAATATTCAAATATTGTCTTGTACTTTAATGTACTGCACAAAATGATTATTGATTTTATCGGTACAAAAGTGACAAACTTTTGTATATTGATTATAATCCAAGGTCATATTTTTATAGCAGTCTTTGCATTGCTGATTTAGGACATTGATCAGTGTCTGTTTTCAAGAGTATTTAGATTTTAGGATGAAAAATCTTCCAGTCACTTCAGCTCTCATAGATGTCAGGTATGTGGGTGTAAGAATGCTAAAATATAACAAGAACTTATCATGGTTAGTGAGACTGTAATGAACATTTATTATGAGTCAGGTAACATAAATTCAATTCTGTGAAGAAATGTGATACCATGTTTCCAGTAGAATATTTATGGAATGCAAATTGATTGAAAGCGTTATATTTATATTATTTGTTTAAGTATGAAGGTATGTTTATTTCCATTAACTGTTTGTTCTACAATAGGTACAGTATTAAAGTCATCACATTAAATTCTTGAGAAATGATTAACTAGATTTTAGTGTTCTTACTTCATGAACTTGGCTAGAGAGTTTCTGAGGATACCTCCATGCGTCAGGGGTCAGAAGCGGAAAGTAGCCAAGTAGTGGCCATATTGGGCAAAGACGTTAACTAGTCTATTATTGAGGGTTTTCAAAAAGGGTAAATCCACCTTAAGCTGTACGGCTTCTTTTCAGCCCTTTCATGCAGTGCATTGATTCAAGCAGTACAGATTAAGTGGGATTGATTCTGAATTATAAACTACTATCTCTGTGGGTGATTGAAGAGTAATGCAGAATCAACTCTCTTCCTGGTTCATTCACATGATTACCTCCTGTAATTTAACATTGAAGAAAGTCAGCTTAAACATTAACCTCCAACACCCAGGAGAATATTTGCCATACTCCACAGGTTGGAGGATTGGCTATAAACCTGGTTTATCAGGCAATATGGAATTCGAGGCTTGTTACTATGAAAGACACTAGGTAGCAGGTCGGTGTGATTTCAGACAGGCATTTATATCTGTCTGGCTCATAGCCCTAGGCTAACCAAAGACTATGAAAATGTGTTTGTCTGTGTTTATTGTACCAAGCCATGGTATCGAAAGGGTGTACAACCCATTAAACCTCGTCACTGCTACGTCTGTTTGCCGGAAATGGAGTTATACATGTTATTTATTAAAACTGGTATGTTGATGTTATTCAGTGTCTCCTCTGTTTCTTTTTCCAGTTTTATTGACTGATGTGGGGTGTTCAAATTTGGAATGTAAGGCTGATAATTCACTCGCCAAAAGGTCAATGCCATCTCTGTGCCTTTATTTTACATTGCTTACATTTGTGCTTATATTGCAGCTATGGGAAGCAAGTCTTAAGTTCCACTAAAGAGTCTAAGAGAGACATTTGAAGATGCCCTGTTACATTATAGGAGAGCTTTCATGTGTAGGTGGATGTGCTATTTAATGTAGTTGTGTTAAAAAAAAAAGATATATATAGAGTAGGTATAGTGGGAAGTTATTGATTTATTTGATTACGTGGTTTTGATTAGTGTTGTATTCAGCAGTAAATATGGTAAATATATTCAATGTATCTAATGTGTTCTGTTGGGTTTGTTTCAAAGATTCATTATGTATGCATGTAGTCATTAGTTGTTTGGTTTTTCTTTGATTTCACAAGTTGTGTAATTAAATCCTCATTGTAACATGTTACCTTTGTAGGCTCCAATCTTCTGGTTCTGTTTATGGTGTGATTCACCACTGATTATGTAGGATGTTGGATTTATTTGGAGTTCACAGAAGACATCTTACCTAACAGTTGAGAATTGTGCACATCTTTATTAACTTGCAAGAGTTTCTGGTGAATTTGTATCCCAAATGTAAGGTTAGGTGTCTTTAATTTTCTATGTATACCTATAGGAAGATGGTCCCATTTCTTTAGTGTGTTGTATTCTTCTGCTTTTGTTAACTTACGCGTGGCTACAAGATTTCTTGAGATAGGGGAAGTATTTAAATAACTGCAGTTCCAGAGTAGTTCAGTATGAATTACTTTATCCCTGTTCTATATCTTGACTCCTAAGTGAATTGCCGAAGTAGATATTTTATTTGAATAGTGAAATTATGTATTTCCAAAGAAATTAGGCTTGGTAATTAATATTTTAATATGTCCTGAAGATGGTAAGTCAAGTTTATGAAAAGAAGAGAAATTTCCAGCATATAGTTTTATTAATAAGTCATCAGTTTTGAAATGCAAATATATATTTATACCATATATATTTGACACATAGTGAATGTATTATAAATGGTATTATATGTACTACTTCCCCTCCTCATAAGAGTGATGACGTTCGCTCTTTGTTTCTTGCAGCAGTTACCATTAAGCTACCTGTACTCAGGAAAGATTCTCACTAGAGAGTCGTTGTCCTGTCCCTATTAGCCAGAGGACTAACATTCAGAGGAGATATGTGATTTTTTGAGTCATTGCCACACCAATATGTGTAATTATTGTTCATGTCATACAAGGTATTTCTCCATTGATAATGGAAACTTATATTCATGTCAGTGGAACCCTGTTCACAACCTATAACTTCATGCTGGATGCCAAAAGCATGCCTCCCCCCCCCCATTTCAGGCTCTGATATGTACTGTGATTTAAGGACACTGAATGTGCAAATGTGTAATTGTTTTGCTTTGTATTGGTATGTTAGGAAAGCCGAACTTCTCCAAATTGTCTAATAGAAGCTTCGTTACGGTTGCTGTTACATGTAAAGCATTTTCATATGCACAAATGTTTCAGGTTATGAAGTCTGGTGACATGTGAAAAACTGCCACCACAAATGTCACGTTATTGCAACTGAAGGTATTGGTCAAGTGGTTATCTGTTTCCTATTTACTTTCTCTAACTCCTCATGTTGTGAATTGGTTGTGTAGGGCTTTGAAATGTATGTTCAGTGCCTGTTTGGGGAGATTTAGAAGAGTATTGTCTTCTTGCACACACTATATTTTTTGCCCAACCTGCAGTTTAGGAACATGGAAGGTATGAATTTATAAATCCTCACTAGGCAAAGCTATAATATATTTTTTTTGTTTGCTGTAAAGACAGGTAATAAGAAAGAAACACTATATCATTATCTGGCTTTCATTATTTTTTTTTCACTGATATTGATATTTCAATTAAAATACACTTGCATATAGACACAAAATTAATCACTTTTGCATACCTGAACACAGTCACATAAGGAAGTGCAGATTAATAGTTGCATGAGTAATACATAGGCATATGTACATGTACACACACTATGGGCTTGTACCCTCAAGCAAGTGTGCGCAAAACAAACAAACAAACACACACACACAACACACACACACACACACACACACACACAACCACACACACACCACACACACACACACACACACACACACACACACACCACACACACACACACACACACACACACGTACATATATACACATATACACATATACACACGCACACGCATGCATGCACACACAAAATTAATCACAGAATCTGTCACAGTAGTTTTTTTATATTTTTTAGCAGAACAAGAAAGTTTATATAATTTCTATTTTGGATTTACCACTGTGCAAGAAGACAATACCTGTCATGTGAGTAGCTGTAATTTTCTACTTCCAAGCAGCCAACCCGTAATTTTGTAATGAAATGTACAAGGATATAGCAGCAGAAGAATAAAGTATTTTCAAAGGATTTTTCTTATTTATTACTCCTATCTATCTCCTAATTAGGAATCCATTCAGTTGAACCATACAAAAGGTCTTTTTTTTAAGTAGAGGGACTTATAAAATTTACTTAAAGCAATAAGAAATGCTGCAAATAAGAATTAAAATACTAAGGAAGAAAGATTGCCATGTTTCTGTAGTATTCAAAAGGAATTATTGACATAACAACAAGAGATTTACAGTGGTAGTGACTAATTATTTGTTATCTCCTGTGTCTACAGAAAATAGAAGTTGAGTATGTGTTACATGAAAAATACTGAGGAATATCATAATACTTGCATAAGAAATATAACGGATAGCTGTTATTTCCTTAGTAACTATTTCATCACTTAACATACACATACAAGGCAGTTATCAATTTAAAGTTTGATTAAATTCTGAGAAGTATGGGAATGTAATACCTTGGCCTTAATTGCAAAAGGGCCATTAAAGAAAAGATTCTGGTTTCTTCTTTATTCACCAAAAAAGTGTTGTGCCACAAACATTCCTGTTATTTGGCATAACTCTGAAGACAGATATTTACAATAAAGTCAAATTTTTCAAGGAATACAATTGAAAAATGCAAAGTCAAACTATACTGTTTTTGCTTTTTTTTGGTTAATTTGTTACAAGCTTTTCAAAGTACTAAAGTGTTAACATCTTATGGAATACCTACTATATTTAACAAATGCTAAATTTCAAAGTCCACATTCTAAGACTGAAAGAAGGTTATAGTGATGTTTCTGACAGAGGCTAACTACATTTTCCAGAGAAGTACACATGGGTGACTAGCAGACTCCTCGTTTCAGGAGAATATTGGCATAGGCTGCAGTTTCTCTGAAAAAGAAAAGAAAAGAAAATGTATATTATTGCACTATAATGCAAATGATTGATTGCTAAACACTGCTAAATAATTACTATATTACATGTTACTGATATGGAGTCCTAATCACCAATTCTAATTTCTCATCTATATTTGGATTCAGCTGTGTGATGCTTTTATAGAAACTCTTATAGTTTGAGAATTATGAGGATGAAGAGATGGGATATTCCCTTTCATCTGTTTGGGACAGCAGTCTGCACTAATGCTGCATTCGGAACTCCTCATCTGACTAGTTGGACATTTTGGACAAGGTGTTTTGACTGTTCAGAACCTCTAGTTTGGGATCCTGGACAAATCGTCTATTTGTCCAACTTGTCCCATTCTCGCAGCAGGGCAAGCAGGACAAAAATTAGATCACAATAACATTTATATGTAAACAATGGCAGTTGCAAGCAACAATAAGATATAGATAGGTAACTTTATGGCCCTTTATTGATGTTATTAAAGGGTATTTTTGTGTTTGTTAGTTGCAGGCCAGTTAACCATGTATCAAAGGAGTTACAAAACCTATGCAGTGAGTAAAATAGCACCACTGGTATGATAAAATAGCAGATGTTTACTTTCGAGCGGGTTGCACAGTGGGCAATGAAGGCCTTGGAGGTTCCTTACATGGCTTCATTTTCCAACTGGTCCTGACATGATGTCTAGATGAGCAAGACAAGGAGTTCTGAATGCAGCATTATAGTTATAGACCTCTGTAACATCAAGTCATCAAAGTGTGATGTCACAGAGATCATTATTATTAGGCTGGAAGTTACATCTCTTTCTTCTTCTCTGATCCCTTTTCCTTGTCAGTACCTTCCACTGATGCATCTTCTTTCATTACATATGAAAATGAGACCTAGAAATACTGTGACAATTTTTTTTGTTAAAAGTTGCCTATTCTCATGAAAAGTTGTTTTACTAATTCTTCAATTTATAATTAGAAGTACAAATTTCTAAAAAGGAAGTGTGAAATTTCATGGCCTTTTTTTTTGTCAGCTTCCCTTCATCCTTGATTTTGTCTCATATATCTAAAGCTATTTCCTATTCAAAAAACTCTAATCTCACTGGTTTGCAAATTTTACTAATGAATATAGCTATTACAGATGCACACACTACTTTATCTACATCAAGATACTGTATTTTTGTCAGAAAGCCCTTCTTTCTTAAAATGTCAAATGCATATGGTCTACCCCATGTATTTATTCTGGCAATAAACTCATTTAATTCTTAGGAAATCTTGTTTGCCTATACCTCCCCTCCAATACAATCATCTGAATTCTTATATTACTCACAGTACTTTTACACGTCTTGTCCGTGGATGTCGGAACTATGATAATCATTATCATTGTCATTGTCACTATTGATATAATTATTATTGTTATTGTTCTTTAAACATCATATACACCTTTCAAGACACAAATGTTTTCATAAACCCATTTGACAAAAGTTATTTTTTTGCTATATGTTCCTCATCTCTACAGCAATGTTCATGAAAGTTTAACCACTGTCCACTATCTTATAAAAACTGATAACAAAGGATAATCTTCATGATCCACTTTTAAGATGATTTAGGACTTTCTCACTTTTCACTAGTTGAAGCTGAGTTCAATCAGTTTCACTTTTTAGATAGAACAGTCATTTGGCATTGTGATTATTTGTAAAGGAAAAGCAAATACATCTGACTGTGTAAGGTAAGTAGTAGAATATATGAAACTGGGACTGTTACTAACGAGACTTTGAACATGCTTAATGATGTTGGCTTTTGAACAACTCTAATCATGAAGAATCCTATTTCTGTCAATGGCTTTATGCCAAGCATATCCACCAAGAACATTCCAAGTCAGTTAAAAAGAACCCATAATCTGAGGTAAAACTAAACATTTTCTTTTCCAAATAATATATCAAGGTCAGGGAATTGTTCACTATCTATCTGACCAACAGGTTAGGACATCATAGGAAGACTACTACCCTAGTTATTACTAATATAAAGGAAGACCATATGGAATTACTTGCCACATCTGAGACTGCTTTGTGGTGAAACTCAAATAGGACCAAAGAATAAAATATTACAATGACATTAATTGCCCAGTAACAATAAATAAAATACTACAATTACATTAATTGCCCAGTAACAATAAAATGGATTATTCCATAATCTCCTATTCCATAAGAAAGATCTTTAAAGGCTTTCAGACATACCCTGTGTGGATGATGGCATAAACTTTCTTGGCTCTCTCATAGAACTCAAAGCGCTCCACCTTCTCGAAATTCACTGGTACAGATTCATGTTTGTCACAAATCTTGCGGTACTCTTCCCATACCGGCACTTGGAAACCCTTTGCCTTGTCGCCATCGGTGAGGTCCATCAGCTGAACCTATAAAAATTGGACGAGCATTTAGCTTTTTGTTTGACAAAAAAGAAAAGATTTTTTTGTATTTATCAATTAATTTGATTTTCATCACAAGATAATTGAAAGAGAGAGAGAGAGAGAGAGAGAGAGAGAGAGAGAGAGAGAGAGAGAGAGAGAGAGAGAGAGAGAGAGAGAGAGAGAGAGAGAGAGAGAGAGAGTGTGAGTGAGTGAGTGAGTGAGTGAGTGAGTGAGTGATGAGTGAGTGAGTGAGTGAGTGAGTGAGTGAGTGAGTGAGTGAGTGAGTGATGAGTGAGTGAGTGTAGGCAGTGGGAGAAGGAGAGAGACAGGGCAGGGTGGGGAGAAGGAGAGAGAGAGAGAGAGAGGGCAGTGGGGGGGAGGGATGGAGGGAGGAGGGAGAGAAGAGGAGGAGGAGAGAGAGGGGAGGGGAGGGAGGGATGGAGGAGGAGGAGAAGGGGAGGAGGAGAGAGAGGAGGAAGGGAGGTGGGGAGGAAGAGAAAGAGAGGGGAAGGGGGGGAGGGGGAGGGAGGGGAGGGAGGGGAGGACAAGAAGGGACAAGAAGGGAAGAGAGAGAGAGAGAGAGAGAGAGAGAGAGAGAGAGAGAGAGAGAGAGAGAGAGAGAGAGAGAGAGAGAGAGAGAGAGAGAGAGAGAGAGAGAGATAATAATAATAATAAAACTTTATTTCCAATTTACATTGGGTATTCATTACAATATGCAAATAAATATCATTATAATCATATACACAGGTGCATATAACTTAAACATAAAATGAATGAAAAATGTTTCATTGAAAGGAATTATTGAAATTAATCTCTGCTTAATCATATAATGATATCCAAACAGATATAATGAGGATTCCCACATTCTTTGTAGGATGCAAAGTTTGATGTACAAAATTATCCCTGTTCAATTAATTATAAGTAATCACATATTCATATATTGGTTCAATTCTGTAAACAAGGCTTGATTTAAGTTATTAGTATATATTCAGAATTCATATATTCGATATAATATATTAGACTCCTTGCAACGCAAAAAACATGGTCACATATCAAGCAATATTAAAATAAAGTGGGAAACACATATAACTCATGCTACAACATAGTACCAAAGTAAATTTTCAACAAAATAAATTTATGGAATATTATATTATATTCTAATTTTACTTTAAAATTGTTTTTATTTACAGTAAATATTAGAGGAAAAAAAATATTTGGGGTTGCATTTTACATACAGTTTCTTATACAAAGTTCGATTTAGCCATGCAGTAGATATAGATATTTTTTTAGCTTGTGTTTAAAGGCAGAGAGTGACAGTGTTCTTTATGTGTGCTGGAATCTGATTTCATATCTCACCGTTATCCTTTTTGTGCCTGATACTGTATTTGTTCTTGGTACGTAATTGTGCCTGTTATATCATTCACGGTATGAAGATTGAGCAACCACTCGGGAAAGCACTGATGCAAGCACTTAAAGATTAAAATACACGTCATATATGTTTCTTATATTTAACCATCCTAAGTGATTCAAAGCTGGGGTTACATGGTCATATTTACGTAAGCCTCCAACGGCAACATTTCCAGCTAAGTTTTGCAACCTTTGGACTCTCAGTCTGTTCTTTTGTTTACTCCCAGAATTCTTGAGCAATAGTTGATAAGACTCAATACTAATGATTAACCATTATCTGTGTTGAGGTATCAAAGCTGTCTCCTGTTCTATAAAGATAAAAGAGAATACGGTTAACTTTTCTTCTTAGTCCATCTACATGAGTTAAAATACATATATTGAACAAAAGAGACTCCTAAATTTTTACCACGGTCTTGGGTAGTATACGGTCGCTGTCAAAATTCATAAAAATATCATCTGATAGTTGTGAGATCTGACGACGAGAGCCAATAAAAATCTTTATTTTGCTTATGTCATCTGATAGTTGTGAGATCTGAAGACGAGAGCCAATAAAAATACATTATTTTGCTTTTATTCAAAAGTAAACCAATCCTCCGGAAACACATATTGACAGCTGATTGGAAACTTTCTGCTTTCTCAATCAATTCTGCAATATTGGATATATTTCCAGTCTGCAGTATTTGGGTATCGTCAGCGTATTGAACGACGAAGCAATCTAGTATTTATTCTTTATTATTATAGAAAAAAGAACTGGACCTAACACGGAACCCTGGGGAACATCGAAGCAGACATTTCTCTGGGTAGAAAGAACCAATGTCTATGTCACGCTCAAAATGCCACTCCGAAAAGGTGACATGTACCTACGCCCAAGGTCTATATAAGTACTTATATAGACCTTGCCTACGCCCACTATAGTTAGAGGGAATGCGAGATCTCAAACCATGCCCAATCACCTCTACTCTATTATAGCCTTCCATAGCACCCTCGATCACCCTACCTCATTCCATTATTTAGGGGTGTTTAAGGGGTATATAAGGAGTATACGAGTACTCAAACCACATCCATTCTCATTTACTCTGTGATAGCTTTCCATAGCACCCTGGATCACCTTTGTAACCCTTGCTGTTGTTTAGGGGTGTATTTAAGGGGTCTAAAAGGGGCATGAAAATTTTCATACCGTACTCAGTCTAATTTAGTAATTTCCTCTGTGATATGTTTCCATAGCACCCTAAATAAACCTGCAAGCATGTCCTGTTGCTTAAATATTTAAGCGGCATTTTAGTTTTTTTTCGCGTCCTGATCCCTTATAGGGGCCCCTTATCGGAACGCCTCATAGCCTAAGCCACGCAGGACCTCGAGACCTTTCTAACGCGGCCAAGAACTCGCCCCAACTCCTTGTGGTTACTGGCCCCAATTCAGCATATGCGACTGCCTCAGGTATGAGATTAAGGAGGTCATCAAAGAAAATGCTCCACATCAAAGGGCCTAAGAGGCTTCCTTGGGGGACTCCTGCTTCGATGGGATATGATCTTGATTCTGATCCCTGAAGAACTACTGAGAGATTTCTGTTAGTGAGATGATCACTGAGAAGCTGTAGTTGTCCTTCTATGCCGAGGCTCTTGAGCTTTGCAATGAGGCCCTTATGTCATACCGAATCAAAAGCTCCAGAGGTATCAAGGGCTACGACTCTCGTGTCTCTCCTTCTGTCGAGGTGTTGGGCCCAACTCTGTTTCTCTCGCCTTCTCTCTCTTTCTCTCACCTTCTCTCTCTCTCTCTCTCTCTCTCTAGCATTCTGTCTCTCTCGCCTACTCTGTATCTCTCTCGTCTTCTTTCTCCTCTCTCTCTCTCTCTAGCCTTATTCCTCCTCTCTCTCTCTATCATCTTTCTTTTTTCTTTCTCTCTCTCTCTCTCTCTCTCTCTCTCTCTCTCTCTCTCTCTCTCTAATCTTTTTTTTTCTTTTTTTTTTTCTCTCTCTCCCTTCCCTTGTCTCACTCTTTCTATTGCCTTGTCTCTCTTTCTATTTCTCTTTATCCCTCTTCCCTTCCCACCCCCTGTCTCTCACTTTATCTCGTTTTTGCCTTCTGTCTCACTCTCTCTCTCTGTCTTGCCTTCTCTCTCCTCAATCCATCCATCTCTCTCTCTCTCTCTCTCGCCTTCTCTCTCTCTCTCTCTCTCTCTCTCTCTCTCTCTCTTTCTTTTGCCTTCTCTCTCTTTCTCTCGCCTTCTCTCTCTCTCTAGATTTCTGTCTCTTTCCCTCTCGCTTCTCTGTGTCTCTCTCTCGCCTTCTTTCTCCTCTCTCTCCCTTTTTCTCTCTCTCTCTTGCCTTGTCTCTCTCTCTTTCTCCCCCCCCCTCTCTCTCTCTATCTCGTTTTTGCCTTCTGTCTCACTCTCTATCTCTTTCTTTCTCTATCTTTCACTCTTTCTCTTCTCTCTCATTCCCTCGCCTTTCTTTCTCTCTCTCTCTCTCTC